GTAGGGGGAGGGGGAGGGGAAGGGAGGGAAGGGAGGAGGGGAGGGGGAGGTGAATATATACTAAAGGGGGGAGGGAGGAAGGGGTAAAACACATACTAACGGGAGGGTGGGGGTGTGGGGAGGGGTAGGGGGGTAGGGAAAAACGTTTGTGATTTTTCATGTTAGTGGAAAGGGGGGGGAGGAGGAAAAAAGTTTGTGAATTTTTTTCTTGTTTCGTTTTTCCGGCCGGTGCGTACGCGGGTGGTGTGAGGTTTTGATGTTTTAAAGAAAAAAATAAGAAATGTTATATTCATAAGATTTTTAAAAAAGGGGTTTGGTGTAGTAGTAGAAATGGTGATATAAAAACGCGATGATGAGTTTTAGCAAGCCAATATTGCACATTTCGTGTAGTATTATAACATGCAAGGCCATTTTATCCAAAATATACTACGTTACAAGCGCTCGTTCTCGTTTCTATCAATTTGAATATCTATTACAATCCCCGCCTCTCGTGGAACATCGTCGTATATTAACAGACAAGTTCCAAAACGCAGTCATCTATCTGTCTGTATCATGTTCATCCTTTAGCGAGTTAAGCGTCAAAGTGATCTAAAAGCAAGGTTGCGATATCAACATTGCAGAGAATATAAGATGAATTTCTTATTTCTTTAATATTCGCTGAAGAGACAAAGAGGAGAAACCACATAGAAAAAAACGTGTTTCAGTCGCTGAGAATTATCCAAGACCCTGCCTGGCAATATTACACAGGGTTTAGGGGTAATGTGTATCATCGCGCTATTATTGTGATCTCTGATGACCTTCCCGCAATCGCGCTTCCGTAAAACAAGGGCAGGTAACCGGCGCCATGATCATAGTCGGTGCGCCCTTTTGGCTGGCGAGCGGCGGGGATCACGATTATGGTCCATTCGAGGGCATAAAGGGCATTCCAGATTGGTTTTCTATTCCTCGGCGTGTCTTTGATCCATTCAAACAATCAGGGCGGGGATCGAGGAAGGATCGGCGGTGGCGGCAGAGGCGGCGGTAGCGGCGGATAGCGGCGGCGGCGGAGGCTAGATCCGACGAGTTTTTTTGCGGAGCGCTCCCGCCGCCGCTACATACCCGCTCTCCGCTTTCCCGCTACATCTTAAAAAAAGAAGAAAGAAGAAAGAAAGTTCCCTAAAGTTATCGTCTCGCCGACCTCAGGAATTCCCCATGAATAAGTGAATCGAGCGGCGGCCAACAATTCTGGGAAGCGTAGCCGGCTTTTGACACAAACTTCATCCCATTTCCGAGGATTTTGGCGGCTCAGAGCGAACACTTGGCCGTCCCATTTTACGAGCTTTTTATTTCGCGCTTATCGAATTAGCCCCGTTTTGCCTTCCATTCCTGAAAAGTTATCCGGAAAATTGAATGCGAAGTGTCGAAAATCGCTGAAGTTTTATACCGAATTAGACTCTTTACGTCTGTCTTTCCCCCCTTCCCTTCCCCTCCCTACCCTCTCCCCCCTCCCTCCTTTGAATCGTCCACCTCCCCCCCACCCTTCCCCCATCCCCCCCATCCCCAACCTTGTCCGAAAGCGAGCGTCCAAATTTCGCTCCCGTCCAACGTCGTCAGTTATCCGCGAGCTTTGCCTCCCATTTCCCGAGCCATTTGGAAGTTGCCAATCCGTTTACACCAAACCATCGATCAAGACGCCGCCGAAAGACTCGGATGACAGGATTTGTTGGGATTTAGCCCGGCCCAAAGTTCATATTGGGGACCCACCCTATCATGCGCGCGTACTGATTGTTAGAAACAGATTTGCACTCGCGCTCTCTCGTCCAGCGATCCCCCCCCCTACCACCCCTTCATTAGACCGATATTGAGTTGACACGTCCTATGATATTAGCTTGTTACACATCCCGCTGTTCGGTAATAACTGTGTGATGTATTGGAATAACTGATTGGGGGTCTCTAAGTCAGTATCTTGAGATTTGTACGACCGGGAGAGAAATACAAAATATATTAACCCCGCTACACCTAACGTATATTAGCGGGAAATATAAAAAAAAGATTGGTAGTAGTAACCCGTTAATAACAAATGAGAGGGTAAAGTGATATCGTGTTATTGCGGGGAGAAGACAAGAGTAAATAACAAGACGTTAATAAGCCGAGGCATAATTGGAAGACGTATTCACAACAGGGAAATTATTGGGTAACCAGATACGGGCGTATAACGTTTTCGTATTGATTTCTTCATTTATTCGGAATGTACCTGTCACTTTCCCTTAGTTGATATATTTTTCTTCGCGCTTGTAGGTCATTTTGGAATTATTCATAACATTAACAATTAAACGTCTTGACGGACAACATTTACCGGTTTATTTCTTACAGAAGATAACACGCCGACTACAAGCCTAAACTTATACACACACCTCTACGAGAAATCAAATCAACATCTCCCACGCCCACGATTTAATATAAAATTAACTTAATCACATTAACTATTTAGAACGTCCCCGCCAAAAAAAAAGAAAATATAAAAAAAAAGAAAAGAAAAAAAGATTCAAAATTAACACAAATTAAGTGTGGTAGCGACGCGTGGCCTGGACAGGAAGGCAATAACAGCGAGGTAATTTATTTGCCGTCGACAGCATGGGATTTACTCGTGAAAATAATTGACCCACTAAATCCCAGGGGTTTTTCGTCCCCTCATTGGCTTTTGGGATGGGGAGAGAAAGGGGGGGAGGGGGGAGGGGGGGTTAACGTTGATATTATTCGTATAGTTAGTTTGATATTATTATTATTATTATGATTTTTAGATACTGCCGAGTCTTGAATCACCGACGGTACCTTAGAAATGATAAAAAAAACGTCCTTTTTTATTCTGGGAGAATCATGATGATAATGATGATAATTCCTTAGAAATAGAGCAGATACAAACAAAGCGTTTATCCCACAAGAAAATCCGAGAAGCTTTTCGGTGAATAAATTTTCTCCCCCTTAAACAATGCTCGATGTTGTAGGGCGAGTGTGAACATCCCCAAAAACATAAGAACATCAGAATTCAAAGGGTATTTTGGCCACCCTCTCTCTTCCCTCCTTCCCCCTCTCTCCCCCTCTCCCCCTCCCTTCTCTCTCCCTCTCTCCCTCTCTCTCTCTCCGTCTCAATTTCCTCTCTCTCTCTCTCTATCTATCTCTCCCATCCTCTCCTCCTCCCTCTCTTCTTCTCTCTCTCTTTCCCTCCCTCTCCTTCTCTCCCTCCCCCTCTCCCCCTCTCCCTCCGTCCCCTCCTCTCCCTTCCTCCCTCTTCCACCCTCTTTCCCTCTCCCTCCCTCCCCTTCTCGCTTAACCCAGCGGGGAACCCACAAATAAGAACACTGATTACGCTGGTCTCTCTGTTGTTATTGGATAATATCGTCGCCTCATATAACACATGGCGAATGGTTGTTTAACAGATCACGTGACTTTGATGAAGGGGGGACGTGTGCATTATACATAGAGAGGGTAAATATTGGGTGTTCCAAACGGTGGTACGATGGATTATGTTTTCTGTCTCTGTGTATAAAAGAAAGGTTGTTATGTTTGTGAGTATGTTTCAGTTTATTTATTTTTATCTCTCTCTCTTTTTTGTTATATGTGTTTGTTATTTTGATTTTTTTTATAGGTTTCTATCCACACAAAAATACGAACATTAATACATGTTTCTATTCACACACAAAAAAGCCACTCACAAATATAGACGGAAACAAGCACACAAAAACAAACGTACAAATACACAAACAAACAAACAAACAAACACATCCTTTCTCCTGCTCAGCCTCATTTCCCGAACATCTCATTTAATTCTTTCTCCTCCCCTCTTCTCTCTCTCTCTCTCTCTCTCTCTCTCTCTCTCTCTCTCTCTCTCTCTCTCTCTCTCTCTCGTTCCCTCTCTCCCTCCTTCCCTTCTTCCCTCCTTCCCTCTCCTTCCCTTCCTCCCTCGCTCCCTCCCTCCCTCCCTCCCTCCCTTCCCTCTCCTTCCCTTCTCTCCCCTCCCTTCCCTCTCCTTCCCTTCCCTCCCTCCCTCCCTCCCTCCCTCCCTCCCTCCCTCCTTCCCTTCCCTTCCTTCCTTCCCTTCCCTCCTTCCCTCCCTCCCCTCTCTCCTTCCCCACTCCATCTTCCCTTTAGGCCGAAGTGCACGCGACCCTACCCCTCGTCCGCCATCTTGGTTTCCTTCGTCCTCGTAGTTTTGGCGGGATTGGGGAAACGAGCGTAGAGCATTCAAATTACCTCGTTGAGATAGTTAGGGGGGGAAGGCTTCGCGATATTCAAATGACCCGATATTGGCCTCATTTATTGTCCTGAGATTTATATGTTTTTTTTGTGGGGGGGATGGAGGGAGGGAAGGGAGGGGGAGGGAGGGGGGAAGAAATTATGGGAAGCGTGACTCGTTTTCTTTTCCGAGGTTTTGTGAAGTTTGTTTGTTTTTTCTTTCTTCAAATTTCTTTTATTTGTTTTATTTATTTGGCCTGTTTTTTTCTGTGTTTTTCTCTTTCTTATTTTTGGGGTGTTTTAAAGTCTGTATTTCATCATTTCTTTGTTGGTTTTAATGCAAGGTTTAAGTTTAGTTTAGTTTAGGTAATTGAAAGTTCGTGAGTATTTTCCCGAGAGTTTATTTTTAAAACTAGCTGTTTTAGCATGACGTTTGTTATTATTAGTATTAGTATCAATATCATCATTATTATCACCATTATCATTATTATTATCTTTATTAGTAGCAGTATTAGCATCATTATAGTCATGTTATCATCAATATTATTACTATAATTATCAAAATTACTATTATGATTATTACCAACCTTATCATTACCAGTATTATTATAATTGATACTACTATTTTATCATCATCATCATCATCATTACCACAATTGTTACCATAACTATTATTATCATTATATTTATCATTACCATCATACCAGTACATATATATATCAGTACTATAACACTACTATCTAACCACGCCCACTAACCACGCCTCTTTTTCTCCCCCCCTTTTACAGGTCTGGTTCCAGAACCGCCGCGCCAAATGGAAGAAGAGGAAGAAGAGCAGTTCCGTCTTCCGTTCTGCCGGTTCCCTCCTTCCCTCCCCTTCCCTCCCTCCCTTCCCTCCCATGGGCGGCGACTCCTTCTGCGGGTCAATGTTCCCTTCCTCAGATACGCGCTGGACCATGGGAGGCATGGCACCCATTAACACAGGTGAGGAAGTCGTTTTGTCGGATGGTAGGTGTTTAGGGGTCTTTGTCTGTGTATTCGTGTGATTATAATTTCTTCTGATAATTCATGTTTCTCTTATTATCTTTATTATATGAAACGCAGCATTTAGAGAATCATTACATAGAGCTAACATTACCTCTCTGTTTTCCTTTCCAGGTGTTGGCACTGGCACCCTCGGGCTGACCTCCCCCCTGCAGCGCCAGGGACTCGGCCAGCTGGGCCAGGGAAGCATGAGCATCACTCAATCCTTCAGCCAGTCTCTCGGCCAGGGCTTCGGCCAGGGTCTCGGCCAGGGCTTCGGTCAGGGATTGGGACAAGGGTTAGGTTTAGGACAAGGCCAAGGACTCGGGCTGGGTCAGGGCCAGGGGCTGGGTCAGGGGCTGGGTCAGGGACTGGGTCAGGGACTGGGTCAGGGGTTGGGAGGGTCGACGTCGCCGCTGCCGTCGGGGCTCTCGAACATGGGCGGGTCTCCCCCGACGTCTATGTATCAGCCTCACTACCAAGCTTTCTCCTCACTCAACAACGCCTTGGGTGAGTACGCAGGTGAGCACGAACGACACTTCCCTTTTGTTCCCTTCGACTGGGAGAAATGCCAAAGGCCTCTTTAGAATTTCGGTTTTTGGGGAGAAAAAAAAGGCCTGAAATCCTCTCTCTCTCTCTCTCTCTCTCTCTCTCTCTCTCTCTCTCTCTCTCTCTCTCTCTCTCTCTCTCTCTCTCTCTCTCTCTCTCTCTCTCTCTCTCTCTCTCTCTCTCTCTCTCTCTCTCTCTCTCTCTCTCTCTCTCTCTCTCTCTCTCTCTCTTTCTCTCTCAGTCATGCTGATTATGAGACGGGGGTTTTGTTTATTTGTTGAAAGGTTCTTTGCAACGGAGCTTGGTGCAATAGGAGAGAAAAACGTGTGTTTGTGTGAGTGTGCCTCCATTACCTACCCCCTGTGTGTGTGTGTGTGCGTGTGTGTGTGTGTCTGTGTGTGTTTGTGTTTACGTCTCCCCCTCCCCACCCATCGCCTTGTCTTAGCTTTAAGGCCTACACACTTACCCCTCGGCAGCCTCGTAAGCGACTATATAGTCACCTTTCCCCCTTCTCCCCAGGATCACCACTAAACTCCCCAGGTCTCCCCAACGGCTTAGGTTCCCCAGCAACACCCCCCCACAGCGGTTCGTCCTCCCCGGCCACACAGCAGCAACAGCAGTCCCAACAACAACAGCTCAGCGGAGGCCAACAGCAGCAGCAGCAACAACAACAACAGCAGCAACAGCAACAACAACAGCAAGATCTGCAGCAGAACTGTGGCATGGGGTCGATGGGCATGGGCATGGGCGTGGGCATGGGCGGCGAGGACATGTGGAGAGGGTCGAGTATCGCCCAGCTACGGCGTCGGGCTTTTGAACACTCCGCCTCCATGGCCGTCTTCAGGTAAAGTTCCTGAAGGTGGCGCTGAGGAGGAGACTTCCCTCTGCTGCTCCTGAGGTTGTCTGTCTGTCTGTCTGTCTGTCTCTGTCTGTTTGTCTGTCTGCTTCTCCTCTCCCTCGTCTCCACTTTTTTTTTATCCTTTCACCCTCTTTCTCTCTCTTGTCTCTACCCCTCTCTCTCTTCCCTATCATTTCTCCTCTCTCCCTCTCTCTCTCCTCCACCCTTTCTATACCTTCCCTTCTCTGCCTCCTCTCTCCTCTCTCCCCTCTATCATCCCCATCCCTCTCTCTCTCCCGCCCCTTCCCCTCTCCCTTCTCCTCCCTACCCCCTCTCTCTCCTCCCCTCCCTATCCCCTCTCTCCCCTCTCCTCCCTATCCCCTCTCTCTCCTCCCCGTCCCTATCCCCTTCTCTCCCCTCCCCGCCCCTATCCCCTCTCTCCCCTTCCCGCCCCTATCCCCTCTCTCTCCTCCCCGTCCCTATCCCCTTCTCTCCCTTCCCCGCCCCTATCCCCTCTCTCCCCTTCCCGCCCCTATCCCCTTTCTCCTCCCCGTCCCTCCTCCCCTCCCGCCCCTTCCACTCTCCCCTCTCCCCTCTCTCCTCTAATCCCCAAGGATTATTCCCACCTCCATGATTAACCACTGACTTCTGTTACCTTCAATCCCATGCCCGTCTTCCCGAGAACCAATCTTCTTCCTTTCCTTCTTCTCCTTCTTCCTCTCCTTCTCCTTCCTTTTCTTCTTCCTTCTCTTCTTCTTCTTCTTTCTCTCATTCTCCTTCCTTTTCTTCTTCCTCCGGATTTTTTTCTTCCTTCTCTTCTTCTTCTTCTTCCTTCCTTTCTCCTTTTCTTCCTCCTTCTCTTCTTCCTTCCTCTCTTCTTCTTTCTTCTTCTCTTTTTCTTCCTTCTCCTCTTCTTCTTCCTTCTCCTCTTCTTCTCCCTTCTCCTCTTCTTCTTCCCTCTTTTCTCCCTCCTCCTTCTCCTCTTCTTCCTCTTTCTCTTCTTCTTTTTCGGAAGCTGCCGTGTTTTTCCTCCCTTTTTTGTAAATATTTATTCACCCCATGTTAAACGGCGACGCTGTACTGTAGTCATGGAAGAAGGTAGATAGAGATAAAGCTAGAGAGATGCCCCGTCATTATGGAAGAAGAATAAGAATAAGAGAGAAAAAGATATGAGAGAAATTTTCGAAGGAGAGAGAAGAAAAAAAAAAATATTCAGACATGAGATGAAAATCGTTACCCCGGAAAGTGAGTGAGTAAGAGAGAGAGAGAGAGAGAGAGAGAGAGAGAGAAAGAGAGAGAAAGAGAAAAAACAGTTTTAGCGCACAAGAAGAAAGAGAAAAAAAACAAGAAAAAATAGAAATAAAAAAAGAGGTACATATTTTCCTATAACTGCGTCTCCCTTAGCGGTCGCCCCCCTCCCCCCCTCCTCCTCCTCCTCCTCCTCTGTTTCCACATAACATACAAGTAATTACAGAAGTTCAGATGTGTTTCTCGTGTGGAGCGAGGAGTGTGTTCAACAAACTCAAAAAAGCTTCTTGTACTTTTGAGAACAAATCTAGAACAGTCTCGTTCTGAA